GACGTTCCGATAATTACTAGTTAATTTATTCGTTGTACACCGTTCGTCGGTTAAATTGTTTTTATTAATAACTAGCTGACCCGGCAATGCTTTGCTATTGCTAGATTTCAGTACATTTATATATGTTTAGGAATATGTGAAAAGTTTGATATGAATTATATCAGATATTTAATTTGATTAATTTGTTTTATATACGTGTGGAATATATTTGTTTCGTTATGATGTATGATGTATGATTTTTATTTTTTTTGTTAATTATATCAATTTTTCTTAAGTATTAAATATTTTTGGATACACCACGTTAAGTGTCTCACCTTCTGGGGCCATCACAAATAGATTTTGTTTGCATGTGACACGTGACAGAGCTACGTACAATTGACCATGGGAAAAACACTGGACGGTTAAGTCTAAACCTGCAACGTTTAATGTTTGACCTTGTGCCTTATTAATAGTCATTGCAAAGCTTAATTTCACGGGAAATTGGAGCCGTTTGAACTGAAATGGCAAATTGGTTGGTATCATTGGTATTCTAGGAACCAAGACCATTTACCCAGCTCTGCAGCCAGTAAGGATTATACACTCAAGCAGACAGTTTTTTAAAGACTTTATTTGTAATCTTGTACCGTTGCATAATTTAGGTGGACTTAAGTTACGAAGTAAAATTATAGGAGACCCTATTTTTAGAATTAATTTGTGTGGTGGGGTCCCTGAAGGTGATAAAGAATTTAAAAATTCAGTTGGATATTGTATCGCCTCCTCTGCATCTAAAACAGTGTCAATGGAATAGTAAACTTTTGTTGGTGCGTTGAATTTTAACAGTATCATGTCATTTATTTTATTGACTTGATCGTTAGTTGGTGACAATATTGCTCTTTCTTGAAACCAACTTGGCGTTTTAGTCGAAATATTAGATAAATCTGGGTAAACATTTTCAACTAGGTCCATCAAATTAGACATCAAAAAACAAAGCTCAGCACAGACCATTACCAACACGGAGTAAAGCATCAGCAAAAGTTTTATTTCCTTGGTCAGATGATAATATTCTCATATTAGTTTTCAGTTTCAATTTAGTTATGTCTGGCCAAATGTAAGATCTCTTTAATGATGCATTGACTTCATCAGCTCTCGTTCCTCTTACTACAACTGGCAAGATTTGACGAAAATCTCCAGAAAATAAGACTGTACAGCCACCCATTAATGTATTTTTATTACGTAAGTCCCGCAAGGTTCTATCCAATGCCTCAACCGAGCTTTTGTAGGTCATGGATGCTTCGTCCCAAACAATGAATACACAATCCCGCATCAATTGAGCAGTGTTGCTTTGTTTGGATATATTACAGACACTTGATGTGTCATCGTAGGACATTTTTAGCGGGATCTTGAAAGTGCTATGCGCAGTTCGACCACCTTCTAAAAGCGTAGCTGCAATTCCAGATGAAGCCACAGCAAGAGCGATTTTTCTGTCTGTTCTTATTTTGGCGAGCAATAAGTTAATTAAAAATGTTTTTCCTGTACCTCCAGGGGCATCAAGGAAAAATGTTTTGCCTTCGTAATTATTAATAGTTTCGTGTTTCGTTAGTTTCTGTATCGTTCAACAGAATTTTCATTGCTACTAATAGAAGCTGTTGGCTACACTGTCGTGCAGAGCCATCGGACTACACACCACGACCGTTGAGTGGTGAGCGTCTTCGTTCCTTTGTAACGTTCGTGTGTGGCGTATGTCCGTTTGGTGCTGTGTGTGTGACCGCTTACGGTTCTAGTTACTCCTTTTTATTATTTTGTATTATATAATTATGTTATGTTTAAATGTTAATAGTTATTCATATTTGGTTATGTTTTGATGTTTATGTTGATTGTTAAGTCACATTTGTTAAAGTATTCGGCCCCTTAAACAGTTTTATTCGTTAATGTTGATTATTCAATTTATTTCAAAGTTTATAACACTACGTACTAAGCGTACTCTTTTAGCATTTGCCGTACTACGTCCTATAGTAGACTTTCGTTTAGGCATTGTTTGATTGCCGAAAGGCTAACAATACAATAGGTGGAAAGGTAAAATAGGATGGTAATATAAAACACTACTATTTTAGCACCTGCCTAGACGACTTGGTAAACGACTGACGACGAGTCTCGACTGTGCGCTTAAAGAACCAATTATTATTATCGTGTTGTGATTATCAACCGCGCGCACGATAAGAGTCAATAGCATTCGATAACGCGTAATGTCACTGCCAGTGTGAGTATTTTGGTCTATTTTGATTGCGCGAACAGGCATAAAATACAAACGTACAGTAACTACAACTTCAAAAACCAACCGTGACAGTCCACTTCAAAAATAAAATTAATACCTATATCGACTGAAAACGTCGTTTTAATCGTACGTACAATTATTTTTTCGCTTGGTGCGCCTGTTCAATATAACACTAATATATAACAATATAACACACTGCTCCACTTCCACTGTAGACGTTGCAGAGATAATTAAAAAAAAAAAGAAATACGGTCCATACATATACACAGGAACTATAGTAACTATAGTAACTATACTGAAATAACTCAGTTATTATGTTTCTACAAACAAAACTAAGATAAGTTGAATATCAATCAATTCTTTCGGAACAATGTTGCCGTCACGCGTTTTTCTATTGGTAATCTTTTTGGCGGTCGTGGTGGCACGCGGCCACAACGACGCGGACACCGGAACCCGGTGCGACGACGACATGTCCTACGTGAACACGCTCCGGAGCGAGCTGAAGTCGTTGATGGACGTGCACTGGCCGTCGATCGCGAGCTCGTTCGTCGGCTACGACGGATCGCGGGGCGACGCGATAGCAGCGATGGCCGCACGACCGGCGGCCGGTGCTGCGTCGCTGCGAGCCCGGCTAGCCGACGGGTTCTTTCACCGACCGGCAGCGGATCAGCGGAGTACCGTGGGCCGCATGACGAACCGGCCGATGGAAGCGACGGCGGCGAAGACGAAGCCGACGGACATTGCGGTGACGACGGCCACCGTCAAGACGACCGACCAGCTCGGTCCGACGGTGTTCGACACGGAGCACGAGTGCGTGTCGGCCGCGTCGGCCGCCCACGGCACCGGCCGTTGGCTGTGCGTGTGCTACATGACGGACTACTTGGACTGGGTGGGCCAGCGACTGGACGAGGCTTCGGGCAGCGCGGCACCCGAGGCTTTGGCCGACGGCGCGTTCGAATGTCCGTACTACAGGGCGGTCACCGCGGTCTTGGTCGTCAGCCCCGCGAATGCGTGGCCCGGTGACAGCGACGGCCAGCGGACGACGACGACGACCGCTGTGGACGACGGCCACGGCGAATCCACGGGAACATCTGTCGATTTCGACCGGGTGGCCGACTACCGG